CAATAAATTCAACCAAAGTACATTCTCAATTAAATCTCATTGTGTTTACTCATGTCTATTCTTTAATCTCCTAACCAAATCAAAAGTTAATTAATCAAAGTAAATTCTTACTTAATTATTGTTAAAGTTCTTATCACTAATCAAAGGACATTCTCAATTGGAAGTTCCTAAATTCAATCAAAGTATATTCTCAATCAAACCTAGAAACCCTTGAACATATATGATTAATATGCATGTAGATTCAAACAACTTATGATGTAAAAGTCATTACTTTTGACATCATTGAGAGAATAAAGATATAAAAGAAAGATAACTCAATCCAATAATCATAACAAATAAAAACATTAATTCAACTTAACCTTAGAATCCATAATGAAATTACATTGCAATAACCCTAGAAGTTTAGCCCTCTATGAATGAAGTGAAATACATGACAAAAATAAAAGTGAGAGGAGTGGTGGAGTTGTTGAATGTAGAGTGCTCAATTTTTCTTCTACTTCTTCTAGGATCCTTTATATAAAACTTGTTTGAGTTTGGATTCTGATTTTCTGTTGATAAAATCTCTTATTTGATACTGCAATATCTTCCAACTAATTAACAGATTTAGATAATTTTAGAAATATTTGAAAGATATTTTTTGTTGATATTTTCATATTTAACTATCTTGAATATCTAATAATTATTAACAACTGAATTTTTTCCAAAAACTCAATTCAGTCCTTCTTATTTTTCCAAAATTATAGTAAGACCCAAAAGATTTTATTATTACATTTAAGCTCTTGTTTGACCAACTCTGACCATATGAGAGCCTGTCCAATGAATTAGGGTTTCTGTAGAGTGAGTATGTGTTGGTGGAGGTACTCTTGCGGTGGCGTGATGGACATGTACACGTTGATCGCATTTTGCTGTAGCTACGTGGAGATTCGCAGTGCTTGGTAAATTTTGTGTCTTTGTGATTTTACTAACAAAATTTTTTGTTCCATTGGTAAATATCGTGATCTGGTTCATCTTCTTCCCCTTCTCTTCTTCTTCTTCTTTCTTTTATTTTTACCAATCCAGAAGAATAAACACATTAGAAAAATTATAAGATCATGAAAAACACTGTAGGGCGTCTCTAATCGTAAGGGCGGTGAAAAACATTGATTTTGGCCGGACTTAGAGTGCGACGTTGTGGTGGTGACAATACTTGGTTGGATTGTTTTGCGAAAGAGAAGAATAGAGGCAACCTAGTTGAACACAGGTGGTGGCCACCTGGCTGAACGAAGGCAACAACCTGACTGAACGAAGATAGAGGCAGTGTGACTTTTCTCACAAAAAGAAGATGAACAACTACGAGAGAGAAAAATAAATAGCGTATCTATCTCGCTGATAGAAGGGAAAAATGGGCGGAAACATTTCCACTGATTTTCCTGACAAATTTTTCGTAGGTAATAAAAATTTCATTTATCGACGAATTTAGCGACAGATTGTCTCATCGGTAAGTGTAATATACATTACTGAAATATTTTACCAAAAGAAAAATCTATCGACAAGTGAAATGTACATTATCAACATATTTTATTGACGAATTTTTTTGTCAATAAGTGAGATATACATTATCGATGAATTTACCGATGGATATTTGTGTTGGTAAGTGTAAGATACATTATCGATAGATTTTATCAACAAAAAAATTTGTCGGTAAGTGAAATATACATTACCAACATATTTTCCTTCGATAAGTGAAATATGCATTATCCATGGATTTATCAATGATTTTTTTTGTCGGTAAGTGTAATATACATTACCGATGAATTTTACCGATGAAAAGTTTGTCATAAATGAATTCGTCGGTAACTTATATTTCATACTCCATTGATAAAATTAGTCGCTAATTCAAATTTATCCACGAATATATTTTTGTCAAAAAATTCCATTGGTAATTTCAATTTTTTTTTTGTAGTAGTGGTGGGACTGTGATTTTCTGGGTTTTCTTGTAGGTTCAAAGAGTTTCGAGGTGAAGAATGCAGATTAGGGTTTTTTGCATTTCACAATTATGAATCTGGTTTTTGTAGGTGCGAAGAGCTTGATGCACGAAGGTTGATCTACGGTGGCAAGGTGATTTTTCTGTTTGCAGGTGATGTTGCGATGAGGTTAATGGTGCGAGGAAGATGAACTCACGGTGGTCGACAACGTGAAGATAGGAAACTAAGGTTGGGGTTGAAGATGATCACATGTCAGGGGTGTTGATGTGACACTTTATCATAGGTTGATTTGGGTGGAGGATCATGTCACATGGCATCATCTGATTGGTTCAGCTTTGTTAGTGTGGATTACCACGTGGGAGCATCTTGGAGAACTTGATTAGTTACTCATAGGGGGTGTGAATAGGAAAATCAGGGTATGAATAGGAAAATGTCCCATTGTTGAAAAAGAGAGTGTATTTGTGAAATTCAGGTGTGCCTTTAGTTCCTTGTATCAAAATTCTGATTTTGGACCTATTGTGTATCTTGGACATTTAATTTCACACTTTAAATGAATCAAACTTCAACTTTAGCTGCATCAACAAACATTAGAATATCCAAGAATAATTTATGCAAATAAAAATAACTTTTTAAGCCATTTTAATTCCCAAACTCAATAAGTTCACTTGACACAAATCTTATTCAAATAAACCATTTAGAAACAAGAATTCCTTCACAAATTTGAATTTAAACCATAAATGTGGACATAAATATGCACTTATTAGTACTAACAATAAAAGTTTTTAAAATTTAACTAGTTTATTGTTTTCTTGAAAATGGATTAATAAATTTTTATTTTACACTTTATGTTTCATTTGGATTATAGATATTCAATAATTTCAATTTGTAATAAGTTAATTCTTTTTAAATTTTTATTTCGTTTAAGAAAAAAATTAGTTTTTGAGGCGCTTAAGTGAATCCTAGAGTTGGGATGTTACACGAAGCACATTAGACAAAACCAAATACACTAACTAGACGACTTGTTATGTACCATTTTCTCTTCTCAATCTTCAAGAACACCTTGTTCCTTCATTAAGCTTATAACAGGAAAATCTCCAATTATCCTTGTTGGTATCATTTACAGGGTCATTGGAGGATCCTTTCATTGTATCATCTATAGACGATTTATGAGTTTGATTAAACTTTACTTACACAAAACAAAGGTTATAATGCTTAGGAAACATTTATGAATTTAATCATATCATTAAAACTCACCTCATGCATGGTCCATCAAGTCATCTAAGGCAATTTCACAAACTGGTTTATCTAATTAAACTTATTTTTCTAGAACATTTAGTGTATTTCGATTGGTTAGAACTTGTATCGTCCAACACGGCTTGAAAAGCTAGTTTTGGTGAATGATTTGATTTAAAGTTCATTTTGTCCCATTTGAAAAATTCCTAGTTAAAACCCATATTTAAACTCTAGTTATTCTTCAATAAAGCTAAGATTAAGTATTCTAAATGTTAAGAAGTGAACTTACGCCAAATTAAACTTCACAAAATCGACTTATAAGGTGAGGTTTGCACCTATTTATATACTATAAATTGGCCTTATCTCTAATTGATGTGAGACTTCCAACAACCTTCTCACGTCGATGTATATACATCTCGAGTGTGGGATTGAACATTAATGGATGGTCCAATAGTGGTCTGATGGTTGGCCTGAGATTAATTGTTTGCTTGAAAACATGGGGTATGAGCGTCTACTACTACATTCAAAGGCCAAATATCATGAATTGTTTGTACCTCATTCTCCCCTAGCCTAGGGATTCAAAAATTTGTTCATCATGTAGGATTCAACCTTGTTTGACCTGTTGATATCAATGAGTAGTTCGGTCATAGTTGAATATTTCCAATTGTTCGTGGAAAACCTACAACTCATTTCGAAGTTGACTTAACTCATTCTTATGTTAAATCAACTTGAATCTATGGTGGACCTTTAAAAGCTCCAAATCCTTATCAAATTTGTTCTACATTTCATTATTTTATTTTTGTAGATTTTCTTCATTTTTTAAGGAAGACCCTCAATGTGTGTTGTGAGGGCTCATTGTTTTATGGATACATCTAAGCAATCATAGATGACGATGCAATCTTGATTTTGATAAGTATTATAAGACTTATGATTTATGAATAGTTTACTTAAGCCACAATGGATTGTCAAATGTTTTTAAGAAAGTAAGTCTCTAAGGAAGTCATGCTCCACTTGTAAGTATTGATCGCTAAGTTGTTGATGAAGACGAGAGAGATCCATTTACATAATATTCATAGACACTGTAATTGGTAAAAATATAAGAAAAATGTGAATACAAAAATGAATATGAAAATTGAATGAGTACTCCCTTCTTTGTATTTTAGATATTTTTAAACCTAGGGTTAAATATGTTTTTCGTCCCTTAAGTATCACACGATTTTGGGTTTAGTCCCTATTCGAAACTTTGATGGTTTTTAGTCCTCATAGTTTTAAAACTCTTAATATTAGTCCTTAAAATTGGACGGCGTTAACTTTTAGTAGATGTGGCAAACGGCGAGGCCACGTCTTATGCCAGCTTGCCTCTTCACTCTCTGCCATGTTGCTTGTGCCGTTCGTCTTCTTCGGCAGAGCAAAGCCACCATCGAACAAGCCGCTGTGTCAGACCTTTCGCTCAGTCCAAGACGTCGTCGGTGACACCAATCGCCACCGGGACCATTGCCGGTCGCGACGTCGATTTCTCCCTCCTTGTCGTTTCTCTACGCGCGAGAGAGAAGCTCTCTCGTTCCTCCGCCAATCGCCGCCTGAGTTAAATCGGAGTTAAACCATTTTCAGTTTCTCATCAGAGTTAAACCATTTTCAGATCCTCATCAGCTAGCGGTTATGCAAGATAAATCCCAAAATCACAGTAGCAGAAGAAGAAACATCACATAACAGAAATGTACTGGGAATTAATAACCATGTAAATTCCATTAATCGAGTTCCTACAACAACAGACCATAAAACTAAACAACCAAAAAAGTAAACGGGAGAAAAAAAATTAATAATGATAAAAGGAAAAGAGACTCTGGCTCCAGTAACACGTAATTGTTCTCTACGCAAAACAAAAGCAGGAATCTCAAATTCAAACCTACTAATTAACTATCCACGGCCACCATTGGCAACCATAAGAGGATCTATAAATAAACTTAAAAAAAAAGCCGTATCGAACCGGTAATTAGGCCAGAGAGGACGATGCCATTGCCATATATTCGCTTATATCGAAACCTCCTGGTTTTATTTTCCTCGTACCGACTTTTTTTCTCTGGAATCTGTGTAAACGAAACAGAAAATGAATTAATCAATTAATTAATTAATTAAAGCAATTAATTCTGCTGGTCGTTTCTCTTGCCCATTCCGTCGGCCTCTCTCTCCTCGAGCAGCCTCCCTTCCTCCTCATCGGCTTGGGCGGTCTTCTTCTGCGCCTCTTTGGCCTTCAGCGCCTGCAACTTGGAGTGGTTGTAATACGCCACGCCAAGGAACGCCAGCCCGTAACCGAACAAATTAATCGGCGTCACGGTGTCCTTGATAACTGACCACGAGAAGGCAATCAGGAGCCAGTCCTTCACCACGCCAGCGACGTTCATTGTCAGTGCCGAGGTCTTCCCGACGAGGAGAAAAACTGCGAGGTTGAGCGCGAAGGCACAGAAGGAGTTGGTCCCGAAGACCACGAAATCGAACTGAAAGGTGGAGGTGTCTCGGAGGACAGGGTACTCGACGAAGATCCAGGGGATGGAGAGGAAGACGAGGCAGCAGGGGGCGACGTAGTAGAGCGAGGTGATGGGGTTGAGCGAGATCCCCTTGGAGGTGAGGAGGATTTGGATCATGACGAGGCGCGTGGCCTCGAAGGCAACCGCGCCCAGTTGGAGGAGGACGCCCCAGGCGTCGAAACGCGCTTCCCCGTAAGCGGCGACGCCGACTCCGAGGGAGATGGAGAGCATGTTGAGCATGGTGTCATTTTTGTAGGACTCTTTGCGGAGGAGGACGCCGATGGAGTATACGGCGACGGGCATTAGAGCCTTCAACATCTGGATGAAGGAGACGGAGAGGTAGATGTAGGCGGAGTTGGAGAGCCAGAGGGAGAGGGAGTAGAGGGCTCCGATGGGGACGACGGAGGAGAGGTATACCTCGCGTGACATTGAGACTGGCTCGACGAGGCGGAAGACGCGGACGAGGAGGACGGCGAGGGTGGCGCAGAAGGACATGTGGATCATGGTGAGGGAGATTGGGAATGGCCAGTTGTACATCTTCTTGTCGAGGATGTACTTGTTGTAGACGATTACAGTGAAGCTGAGGAAGATCCATATGGCAACGTAGGTGTACGATAGCACGATCTTCTTCACAACGCCATCGCTCAGAGATCCACCTTTTCCCATCTTTCTACACACCCAGACTCAAACACAATGAATCACAGAGA